TTGTTATCAGTGAATACAAACCTACACAGATGTTAGTGTACTGTTCTTGAAGACTCCTCGATATATGGAAAATGTAGAGAGGTGTTTGTCCTACTCACGTGAAGATTAGGCCCCCAGTTTATTTTACTTGATAAAGAAACACATCAGCTCCAACCTAACCTAACCTATCCTAACCTAACCTAACATATCAGCTCAAAAGATTAAAGAGATCTCCTCTCCCCCAAAAATTATTACCCCTATCGCTTGAAAAACTGCGAACATGTACTGAACTGGCGTGACCTTTGTAAGAACCCCATCCCTTCTTCCCCCTCCACTTTCCCATTCTCCGCTCCCCTCCCTTCCCCCCCTCCCCTCCCTTCCCCTCTCCCCACCCCTCTCCCCCTCCCCTCTCCCCATCTTCCTTCTCCCCTTTCTTCCCCCTCCTCCCAAATAATACACACTCGGAACACAAGCGACCAGAGATGCCACAGGTATACGCTCACGACGGGATTAGCTGGTGCCATAAATCGTGAGAACATAATGCATTTGGCAGACCACCTAACAAATCATTTAAGATACCTATCACCCACCCCCACGACCCAGCAAGTCTCAGAGGGTTGTAAAGTAGATTATTTTCTTCCCTAGCCGTAAATATCATCAGGTCTGGTGGGAGTAACACGTATTGGCTTGGGTTCGAGTCATGGGGAGTAATTTCGATATCGTGTTTTGGTGTGATCTAGTATCTGTCAGTATCTTTTGTCAACTGAGAGAGAGAAAATAAATGAGTACAGAGTGAGTACAGATAGAGTACAAAGAGGGAGAGTGAGAGAGAGATGTAGTAAATAAACAGAGAGGGAGGGAGAGAGAGAGAGTAGGTGAGTAGAGAGCAATAAGATGGTCGAGGGAGATACAAATGATGGTTGGCGTGTCTCACTGATGACAGGATTGGACACTACCAAGACTGTGGGTCATAAATCCATATGTGATTGACCTCCGTGACTTTCTGTGATTACTACTTCCTGGTGACCTTAATTATACTGATACATAACACCTGTGCTTGATTACTTGTAATAGTGAAGACAACACCTGTGCTTGATTACCTGTAACTTGGTCGATGGTGATAATTTTTTCAACCACTGTCAGGGTGTTTCTACAACTTCATCTATTTTGTTGCTCTTATGGATGTCAGCTTGCTGTAGGGGTTATATTACAGGTTATGGAACACCTTAAAATTTAACCCCAGCTTATATTACTTGATGATTAAACATTTTAGCGCTAACCTAACCTAACATAACCTAGTCTAATTTCTAACCCACCCTGGCCAGAGGGAGAGTTGAATCCAGCGGTCTTTCTGAACGGCGTCTCACCCAAGGTCTATTTACACTGGGCTCTCCTTGGCAACACACATGCGAACACAAATCCCAATAAATCATGAGACGTTCGAATACCCATCAACACTTTTATTAATAGAAGGTCTTAAAGACTGCATATATAAATTCGATATTAAACAATTCATCAATGCCTGGCCTCCATGATATTTGAGAATAACGAACATCTTATAGAAACTATGGGAGAGTCGAACCAGCTTCAGTTGGTGAAAAGAAAATTGGACCGTATATTGCTTCTCATAACACACCCCTGCCGGCACTTCTTTCCGTCCCAAAACTGTCTCCCACTCTTCTTCCCCGTGCGTGCGTGTGCGTGTTAGTTATGTAATTAAAACATATATCATTATTATTAGACAAATTCCTTAGTTTACCATTAGCCACCTCAAGAACGTGGCAGAAGCGGCTAGCCAAGGAGTGGGCCACTTTGAGGCCTTCCAAGTACGGGCTCGCCATGACTGGCCAGGAAGCGAGTGGCCAAACAGGGTAAGGATTTACCCTGATGCATCTCCCGCTGTGAACCAGCCATGAGCAAGTAGCCAAGCAAGGCGGACCACCCTGAGGCTGCGAGCCGGGTGTGCCTTGAGGCCCGACCCAACTATACCTTACGTACAGCTCGTCAGGCCGCGGTGAGGCAGCACATGAGGGTAATATTGGAAGTTGTATTTGTTCCATATAACATTTATGGTTAATTCTCCTGTTATTTAGTGCTGTGTGTACATTTGGCATCCATTATGTATAAACAAGTATATACGAGATGAAAGGTGATGTAGAGTGAAGGGAAGAGCAAGGATAACGCCCTTTAAGTACAGACAGTTAAACTTAGTTCTCCCGAAAATTAAAAGAATCAACTATTACAGCGAACTGTGGCGACTCTTGTAAAATTCTATAGGTAATGTTTACCACCAGTATCTCCCATAAAACAACTAAAATAAAGTTATACATTACTAATACAACAAACAATATTCATTATTTTCACTCACCTTACATGTGTACCGCCAGCACGTTAGGTCTACGTTAGAAAGCTTACATCACTTACTGAAGCTGGTTCGTCTCCGCCACAGTAGCAATAATATAGTAATTTACAATATCACGGAGGCCGTCTTTATACAACAGCATACTCTCCTAGTTATATGGACCTGTAATTGTATATCTGTATCTGTATTCGCACTGTACCTGACCTGAACCTGTATTTGTACTCTTATATGATTGTAACGTTTATAATCATTAGGTCATTAAACCCAATCCTTATTAACGTAATATAACAACTGACCATTGTAAGTCCTTCTATACCGACAAAGGCCCGTGAGTAACCTGAGCGTTGTAACCTCACGCCACCGTTAACAACAACACCCAATTACTCGTGGCTGGAAAACTTGTAAATGTTGAAACGCCTCACACACCCACAAGGTTGAGACATAACCACGTATAGTTAGCTAAGTGTTTGTATGTCCGTGTGTATGTCTGTTTCTGTCTTGTCTTGATGTCTGTCTGTGTGTGGAGGAGGGGGGGGGGGGTTCCTCTAGACCAGTGATTCCCAACGTGGGGCCTACGCCCCACTGGGGGGCAATTCAATAATAATAGGGGGCAATATGAAAAATATAGTAATATCAACATTTTTTTTTATTTTACCCTATATGGGTAAAAATTATAAATTTATAGGGTAAAATTGTAATTACAACCTAGCTGAGCACAACAGCTTGTGCAATCTAGTCAAGTGTTCACCCACTAATGTTATCGTGCATCTGGCACCAGCTATATGCGTGGCTTCTGACTTGTTTAACTTTGCAGTTCTTCATCTGCTGTCAAGGAAGAAGGTGAGTTTTAGTCAAGCTAAAAAAACAGAGGAAACTAACTACAACCAAATTAAATGTGCACAATAAAGCATGGAAGCAGTATTGAATTAAACACAAATGCAAGTTTCATGTTTATATAGTTATCTGTCTCTGTTTTTTAGCTTCACTGAGAGGGCTGGTTAAAGTGCTTTTCATTGTGATTATTGATCTTGTTATTCTCTGAAAATAATGTATAAAAATAATCATTCATTGATCTTGTCACAGTAACATTAATTTAAAACTGTGAATATAAAGCTCAATATTTACTTGAAATGGCAACTGCATATTGACATTGTGCCTTGTATGTTACAGAAGTTAGATATTAAATTTATTTTCCTAAGTATATAAATATTTTATTTTCACTTTTCAGTTACCCCCATGATGCATAAAATGAACAGTGTGCACACCAAAAAAAAAGTTCGCCAGTATTCAGATGAGTACTTGCTGTTTGGGTTCATACCAGCGACTCATGATGAAAGGTTGCCTTTTTGTCTGTTGTGCCACCAATGTTTGACTAATGAATCCATGAAGAGAGGTCGTCTCGAAAATCATTTGAAGGCAAAACACAGTATTCATGTTAATTCAAAACTGGAGTATTTTAAATCCCTAAAGGAGAAGTTTGAAAAAAGATGAACAATAAATTCATTGTTCTCTGCAAGAAGTGCAAGCAAGGATCGTGGTCTTGAGGCTAGTTATGAAATTTCTCTTCTCATAGCAAAATGTGGCAAAAATCATACAATAGGGGAGAATTTAATTAAGCCCGCAATATCAACTTTTCCGAAAGTAGTTCTTGAAAAAGATGACCAAGATCTCAAAAGCATGCCGCTCAGTAATAATACTGTTAGTAGCAGGATTGATGAAACGAGTTGTGATGTAGAAGTACAACTTGTTGAAAAATTAAAATATACAAATTTTTCAATACAGTTGGACGAATCAACTGTAAGAGATAGTGAAGCTCTGTTAATGGCCTATGTAAGATATGTTGATAATGGAGAATTTATTGAGGATATGCTATTTTGCGAAGCATTAGAAACCACCACTATTGCAATTGATATATATAAGAAATTAAAAGCATATTTAGATGATAAGCAGATACCAATGGAGAACATTATATCTTGTGCTGCAGACGGTGCTCCAGTGATGATGGGCAAGAAAAATGGAGTTTTAAAATTATTGAAAGACGACAATCCCCAAATGTTGTTGGTGCATTGTGTTATTCATAGACAGAATTTAGTTTCCAAAAAAGTTTCCCCTGTTCTAAACGAGACATTGAATACAGTTATAAAATGCATCAACACTATAAAAGCTAATGCCAAATGTGAGCGTCTTTTCAAACAATTTTGCAAGGATCAAAATGCAGACTATGTAAGATTATTACTTCATACTGATGTAAGGTGGTTATCAAATGGGAATTGCCTGAAAAGATTCATGGAATTATTTGATATTCTTAGTGAGTTCTTGGATGACAAACCTTATATGACTCTGTTACTGACAGTTGATGGTAAAGCACTTGTCAGTTATTTAGCAGATATATTTGAAAAACTCAATGTCTTAAATAAGGATCTCCAAGGAACAAATATGACTCTTGTTAATTCAAAGGCCAAGATATTTGGCTTTATATCATTTCTGGAATTATCCCAAGAAAATATTTGTCAAAAAATTTGAAAAATTTTATTGGCTGAATAAATGTGAGGTAACAGATGCTACTTGTCTTGTTATTGTGGAGCACTTAAAAATAATGGTAAGCGATTTCAACTTCAGATTTTCTGATTTGAAAGAAATTAATTATCCATCTTGGATG